GTGGGGTTGCAATCCCGCGCAAGGAAAGAAACTTCACAACCCAGACTTTTCTTATAAATATTATAAGTATGCTGAGTACATTGAAGCTTGGCATAAGTTTTTCTATTATCAAAATCCAAATAATACACACAGCTGGTACATCCAGTTCCGGCTCCCTATTTTCGAAAGATTCCCCACATGGTTTAAAAATTGGTTTTTTGTGTGGGGTTCAACATCTCAAATTTTACCTCCTGCTTTCAAAACAGTGTAGGAACAGTTCAGAGAATATAATCATGCTGATAACACCATTGATATCCACCTATATTTTATGGCCCTATACCAAATCCCATGGATAATGAAATGGGACTATTCAATCTCCGTTGATACCACTGCTGACTATTCCTATATCCCTAGACTGGGAAAAACTATATCTGTCAAATGGTGGGACATATTTAATATGGACCCTGCAACACTCACACCTAAAAGAATACTTCAGAAAACCCCTGAAAAACAACCAAGCCAGAATACAGCTAATACTTCATTCGATTTCCCAACCTATCTGAGAAATATGCTTCAGTCTAACCCTAATGCCTCAAAAGAAACATTAGAGAAACAAATGAGAGAAATCTTTGCTGAAGTTGGGAAAAACCCAGTTTCCTTTGAAGAGACCGTACAATCATCCCCTTTACACACCAGCCAATATCTCAATCTTCCTTCAGATAATCCAGATGAAGAGATTAATCCTGACGAAGATGATCCAGACGAATTCAGTCAAAGACCCTGAAGAATATTCCATCAAAAAGTTGCTGACAAAGATTCCATTATTTCATCACCATACAAGTGTCCAGAAGATTTCAATATTTCATCACCGTACACGTGTATAGCCATACCAACAAAGGTTCCAGAAATTCCACCGACGCTGTCACCATCATCAACCGACAAAGAATAAACAAAAAGCATCAGGAACAGTGATCACCGACACAACACGACAAGCAAAGACTATTCAAGATGCTTTCACTGTAGCCACCATAAAGAAAAAGACAAAAAACACTGTAGCCACTTCGTTGCTTTACACTGTAGCCACTTAGCACTGTAGCCACTTGGCACTGTAGCCACTTTTCTTTTAGTCTCGTCTTTCTTTTCTTTTTTATCTCTTTGTCCCTTTTCGCCGACATTTGCTTTATCCCTTTTGTCTTTTTTCGCCGACACTTGCTCTATATATATATATATATATATGGTAAAGTTATATAAGTTGCTAACTTAAATGTAGTAACTACACGATA